GCTTAAATATAGAAGGACGCGACAGTAAAATTATCTTTTGCAAAATAGCACCTTTCCCAGAGGTCCAGAGATCTCGTGCTTTAGTCGATTAAAATTGATATCGGTACGATTAGTTATCCTTGAAAAAATTCTTTACCTCCTGGCTTAAAATTTCGAGAAATTACACACGTGGATCGACTATTGTAAATCTCTGCTCTGTAGAGAATTTTCTCGAGAAAATAACGGGAGACGTAACATTGTAGATTTGTGGCAACGAGAATCTCTTGGACCATCAGTACAGGACAGCAGTCTTAATAATCTTTGCTGAATTTTTATTCCCGATGTGAAAATCACGGCGTTAATGGTAAACAAAGGACGAATAGTCACACACCGTGAAAGCATCACCTAAAACTTTCAGTCTTCCTCTATAATTCCCAGTCTACGATTCTAGCACCATTGCGCAGCTTTCAAGTTACGTTTCGTTTAACGAACCCGATCAACGAAGAGTACTTTCGATAATTAAATCGGCTAATAATAAGATCACGTTAGAATTCGAAGATTAGATTGAATTATCGACGTTCGCATGCAGTTTTCTCTACGATATTTTTGTTTTTTCCTTTTTCACCTATTTACTAACGGCAAAGTTTATCGTATCTAGCCAGAAGTTGCACGCTGTTATCGTTACTTTCTTCAACGTTACCTCCCTTCGTCTATTTATTTCGTATACTTCGTTTCGCAGTCTCTCGTTACGTAGTCATATACACAGTTAGAATAATCGAGCTAAAAATCGTATCACGATCCTCTTCGACAGGATCTCTTCCTTCTTTTTCTCTTTTAAATTATCATTATTGACAAATCAGGAATCTACAACTTCTGACTGTTTTCACCGTCGCCGGTCGTGCTGCCTCGAGATTCATCGGCGATCTTTCCATCGCGAATGTTCAATTGAAAAGTTGTAAACTACGAACCGTCGAATCTAACATAAATCGAACGTAAATCCTGCCTTTCCCGCCGAGCCATCTTTCGAAACGACACGTCTCAAGACACTGATCTAACGTTTCAACTATAATTACATCTCGTTCATCGATGATTCCTTCGAGGTAGCTCGAACGGTGACGACACGATCCTCGTTGCCAATGTAAAACTTCCCTTCGCAATTCTAATACCTAGGTCGCAGTATTGACAAAGTTAGGACGTGTAAAACGACGCACGAATCGCTTCTTCGGGATCGTCTTCTGTTCGAGAGACGATCCCCTTTCGAGCCTCGGCTAGTTGCTTCGCTAGTTCGTGGACTCCGAGTTAGACGACGGCGATGGTTCCGGGCTCTGCACCAACGTTGTATCCCTGCCGATCGTCGGTGTCAACAGCATACCGCGCGGACTGAACGTGTCGCAATACAGATTCTCTTTCTTGTGCACCCGTCTTACGTGGCTACGCAGATTGTCGCGGCGTGCACTCCTGTAAGCGCAGTGCGGACAAAGGTGCGGCTTCTCGCCCGTGTGCATTCGTCGGTGTTGGATGAGCTGACGAAACAGAGAGAGAGAGTATCATTGTTCCCGTGTGTAAAAAATAACTCTTTGCGATGGTTCGCGGCGAGATTGAAAGGTGTTCGCAATGGATTTAGAGCGTCGGGGCACGTTTAATTACGACGGTAAAATTTGGGAAGGTAGTTTGGAAAAATGGTAGATTGTAAACGTGACGTTACAGTGAAAGTTTGGTATATACAGGATGAACCATGTAAAATAGGCCACTTATAGTTGTTTTCTCTAGTTACGGCGATACGAGACAGTTTTTGTAGGTAATTTAAATGGTTTCAAAGGGTGAACAGGATGGAAGAAATCTTTTTTATAAATGTCATTTTTCTCTGAGATTTTTCAAGGTTTCCTATGTCTTTTTTTATCTTAAAATGATCCTGGACTCCAAAATTTTAAGTGTGAAACTTCCTTTCGTTGAAATGCTAGGTTCTAGTGACGCTAGAAGAGTGAACCTTGGCTCTGGATTAAATTTCTTTTAATTTACTGAATCCCTGTTTGCGTGGAATTATAATAATAATAGTCGGGTATTAATGATTTCTGATTGCAAATCTAAGGCTATGACTCATTCTAACGTGCTAATTTCCCAGCTATCGTACAATGTCGAAGTTTCACAATGAACATTCCTCGATCCATTATACAACACGATTCCAACAATCGTGCCTTATCGTAGCCGTAATAAAAACATCTAAATATATCACGTTCATTGAGGCTTTCCATTACAATCATTCGAACAGCACGCGAAAAAAAGGGCGACTGTGTGTGTCAGTTTTATAAATACGAAACGTCGTTGTGAAATCGACAGATTCATACGATACATATAGTTTACACAGGACGATACGTTTGATTTACAGGTAGAAAGTAGAATATCCTGGATATTCTACGATATTCAAAGGGACAACGGAGTACCGTAGAATTTACCGACGAACAGTAGGATTATATACCCAGGCTTTCACGCGGTGAGAATTCGAAACAATCGAAACTTCGTTCATTTCCCCCCTTGTTTCTACGGTTGGAGAATGACGAAGTCTCCTTTTGTGTCGGGGAAAAATATTACCTTTTTCAATTGTACCGTGCGAAAGATGCAAATGTCGCAGCAGAAGTATCGGTCGTCACGATGCCTTCTCATGTGTCTGCTCAGATCGACTTCCGACGATTTATCCGCCCCGCAAACCGCGCAGCTCACCCTAGTTTCCGGCGCCGTGCCTTTCGCGTGTGCCCTCAAATGCCTCTGGAACGCCTTCTCGATGGTGCAGGCGTACGAACACAACGAGCACCGATACTCCTCCCTTTCGTATCTGCGCGATTGAAGGTTACAATTAGTCGGAACTACTTGACCGAGTTTGAAAAATTTGCGCGAATCAAGTTTCCGGCGATCTTCGACCCGTTTGCATCGTCAGAGCGTATATGTACGCGGAATTTTCTCGGTCACTGTCCCGGAAGCGTATATATACGCGCATTCGTATAGCGAATAATCGCAGACTACTCAAATTTCGCGTCAAGGGCCTTTTTTTTCATTTCTTTCCAACGATGCAAATGGGTCAACGGGGGAACTCCCGTGTAACAGCAGTAAAATCGAACCATTCTTCTATATTTTTTTTTTTGAGAAAAGTATTAACGATACAAGATTGTTACTGTATGGGTGCGTAGATACGTTCATAAAGTATACGAGCAATTTTTTTTGTTTACTTTCTTTCATTGTTATATCAAATAGTATGCAATTGTTCTTATCCCCTTCGACGACGAAGAAACCATTGTCGGCGGTCAATGTAGCGCTTGTTCCAATCGTCAGAATTTAAAAATTGAAGAAGCTTCTTAAAGTCAGATAGTTTGCGCTGGGGCTATACCTATTTCGAACAAAAATTATGAAAAATTAGACAAGTTGTACGGTTTCGAACAAAAATTCACTTTCTTCGGTGTACAAATTGAGTTTATACTGATTGAAAGAATATTATAAATAAAGATCAGAGGCACAGTCTCTAAGAGAATGTACAACAAATAAAACAAGCTTCGTTTGAAGTTGATCAATTAATTTATCGTGCACGCCAATTTGCGAAACACAGTTTTAAAAAAAACGCGTTTAAAGTTTCCTCCAGTATGCATACTTTGGAAACACATTCTCAACACACAAAATTATCGATCTTTTGGACCTGTTACACGAGAATCCCCACTGAACACGTTCGCTGCCACGAAAAAATTCACAACACGCCGTATGACACATTCAGAAACGCATATCCTGTGTCGATGACAGCGAACGCGTCGAAGACACACCAAAGTAGTCGTTGTCACTCTGAAATCATACTTATCACAGTTCGATAACATAAAGTATAAGTGTAACAATTGAAAAAAGCGCTAAGTACCTATACCTGACGCGTTGCAATGCCAGGGTACGTTTTTTCCCGGTGGGTGTCATCCCCTGTGCCACGTGTGCAGCCACATGAGTCTCCATCTCGCATCTGCTACTCGTGGTGAAGTCACAGCCCGAGGACGGACAACTTTTCGTTTCGCCTGTTTCCGCGCTTGGTACAGGCGGATGGCAGTCGACAATGTGCTTTCGCAGAGCTGGCCTCGTTGGTGCAACCACATCGCAGGATCCGCAGGAATAGCCGCGATGAGCGTTGCTCACGTTTGGACTGCTACCTCGAGATCTAAAAAATCGGTGCGAAATTACAATCTCGTCGAACAGAAAGCTCGAAAAATTCGGAAGATACTGTGGTAGTCGTAAAGTAGTATCATTTCTTCTCTTTAGCCTTAGTTCATAAGTTTGAGGATTGTTAAACAGAAAAATTATGTATAACGTCTTAATGTTTCTCATTTAACGCAATTTTAAAGGGACGAGTATCTGGTTTAAGAGAAGAAACGTCGAAGCATGGAAAAATTATACGGCAAGGAGTTAAAATACGCTTATCGTGCTCTTGTAAGATGTGTGACGAAGAGAATGTGTTGCAAAAAAGAAAAAATTGACGAAAGAGGTGTAATTGATCGACAAAAATCGCATTACAAAAACAGGTACAGCAGGACCTCGGTAGTTGCACGAAACGGGACTGAAGAAACCTTGGAGGATCCAGGTTCCTGCAACTATCGAGGTAACCCTAATCAACTGTACGAAATCTTCTTCTGGAAGAAATGTAACGAGGTCGTCAAAATCGACACGTTCCAGCGTATTAACAGCAAAATCATGGGAAACCTGAGAAGATAAGAGCTCGAAACTTGAGTCAGAACTGCGTGAAATCTGTCTTTTAACTCCGATCAAGTCCTAGTCGAAAAAACGAATCGGTGCCGCTACTTAACGCTTTAATTTACGACCTCGCTATACATTTCCTCCAGCGGCTATACGTAAAAACACGAGGAAGAAACGAAGAGATGAAAGTGATAAAGTGAAATGAAACGAAAGTTTTTAATAAAACTTTTCTCTTGTAATTCCTTCCTCGAACGCCTTCGAAACTTTTCAGTCACGTTCGACGTTTTAGGGGTAACGATAAGGGAAAAATAATGTATTTCACGATGAAACAAAACATGTAACACACACACACAGACACATACAGGAGAGATATCGTGTAATTTCACGGAATCAGAAACCCTTTTTTTCCGTTCCGTGGAATTTCGTAATCGTTGCTCACGAATCGGTCGTAACTCAACGCTGGTCAATATCCTTCAAAGCTGTTGATTTACGGCGCCATTTATCTTTGGATTTTTGAAATATCAGAAACGCGCTCGCATTGTTGAGCGCGGAGAGGAAGATTCGCTCTCTCTCCCCGCTATATACGACAGATTCATTGGTCTGGTTTTATCGATTTCGCGGCGTGTTAAGTAAAAGCATCGCCGTTCGAAAAACAAAAGAGGGAAAAACGGAGGAAAAAACGCTTCCACGCTTCGATACAAACGCGTAATGTCGTTTCTCTCGATTTCTAAACGCTTATCTCCGCGGCCTAACCGCGGAGGGGAATTTAAATGCCACGCGTTGTTAGGCGGGGAACGGGTTTTAAGTACGTTTCGGTGTAAAATCGGTGGTGGTTTGGGGCGGCGAGAGAACAGGATTGATAAGTGTGTAGAGAAGGCATACTTTTCGGTGTAAGACGAATGCTCGCTCTCGGAGTCACTGTCAGACGGAATGTTTGGGATTTCTGTTGCCTCGAGGGCCGCGGTTGCCGCCGAGAGTCTTCCAAGCATGGCGGTGTAAGCGCCGAGCACCCAGCCATTTAGAACCGGTGTAACTGTTCCTTCCTGTTATCAAAACAATTTCTTTTACTTCTCGTGAATTATGCAACTACTCGGTAGATGTAGTCGTGCAATTTTAACAGTAATAACTTCTCGTGTAAGCGAGTAACTACTTTGGTAACGACTTGATCTAGGTAAGAGTTTAGACGATCATTTGGGCGACAGTTTGGGGAATAATTTGAGCGACGATTGGAAAGGCAGAAAGAAGGTCGTGAGTGCATGAAAAATTGAAATAAAAAAGAGGAGCTAGTATTATTTAAATGTTTCAACACACCACAATTTATTAAACTTTTACGAACGAGTGAAATAAGATTTTATTAAATTTTTATCGGTGAAAAGATACACGTTTTATTTTTTTTGTGGTATGATTTATCAAATGTGTGCAACAGTAAAACTGCGACTTACGCCCTTCTTGTACCTACTTCCATAATCTAAGAAACGACTTATTGTTATTCAAAAGTCTAAGCTATGATTTAATCATTTTTTCGATAGATCTTCAATAATTATACTGAACAATTTCACCAACTTAAAGTATCCAGCACTAAAGCATACGACTTGTCATAAGTGATAACCTAAATATAGATAGAATTTGACGAACCTTGTCGAAAGTCAGATAGGCCATCGGATCGAGCAGCTTCGTCGGTAAATTATTGTTGGCCGAACGGTGCGAGCTGTTCGTACTTCCGGTGTCGCTCTCCTCCCCAGCGTCTTCATTGTCGTTGTTCTCTTTTGGTACGGAAGTCTACACACGATCATGGAGAAGTTCATTATCTCGTTCGTGTTAGTTTCGAAATTAAGTAGCAAATGAAAATTTCGGGTGTAAACTTTGTCTACGCTTAACCGGCAAGTTTTCTGATCTTACGCCAGCAACGTTGCGCCGGCTTAATCAAGAGATACAGGGGTAAAAGGATGCCTTTGTATTCTTGATAAACCGTGTTGCAATGCTTGGCTGAAATTTCGAAACGTCTCCACGAGGTGAAGTTCGAATACACGAGGGAAAACGTAAGTAGCATTGTTGAAAATGGTCAACGAAGAAAGTACGGGTGTCTCTAAACATCTTCGAAAGAAAAAGGGTCTCTCTCTAATCTCTAAGTCGTACTAATCGTTTCTTTTTTCTAAATGTGTTTGAAGATCCGATACTCTCGATGGTTCTAACAGAGGAAAGGATTATCGAGCCTGAATTCGAGGAACAGTTTGCTTCTTTGATGCCTAATGCAGCTTACTAATCCCGCCGACACGTTCTTTATTCTTGATTAACGTCGTGGATAATAGAGGAAGAGAAGAGATTCCTGAATAATATATCGGTAAAGTAGGTATCTGTCTTTTGTAAGTAGTGATTTAAATTTTGATTCTTTTGTAACTCTATTGAGAAATGCAATTTTTTCGCACAAAAGAACAGGTACCTAAATGCGACACTATAAATATTTAGGTAGAATGCTGGAGGATAGGAAATACTTAAACAGTCTTTTCTCTTCTAGAGGGTAAAGATAGTATTCAAAGTTCATTGACCTCTTCTTTTAAAAGAATTTTTACATTCTCCAAATCTCGTGGTCTCGCTCGAATATCTTAAACCCCCAAGAAAGGTAAAGGAAAAGAGTGACTAACCCTTTGCAGACGGAGGATTACTGATTTACTACCGTTCACAAATATTTTCTCATTATATCTACCATTTTAAATAATAATTATAAAAGCAGTTAAATCCTTGACTTCTTCCTTGGAAACTGGTTAAATGAAATTTCCTACTGAAATGAACTCTTACGAACGCTAGTCTATAGTCACATCATTCTCAAGGAATTAAAAAAAAATAAGCAACCCTCGAAAAAGTAAAGAATCTCAAATAAACTCACATAATGAATAATTACGAACGCCGGTCCACAGTTCCATCCTCCTCAAAGGGTTAAAAGACAAATGAAACAAGCCTCGAAGTAAAAAATCTCAAATAAACTCACACAACGAATAATCACGAACAGAGACTAATAAGGGTCAAAGGGTTGAAAAAAGTGTCTCGAAAAATTAAACAACCCCTCGAAAAAAAAAACGAAGAAAAGTACGAAACGCACCTGATTATCATTTTCGTCAGCTTTTTCGATGTTTCCTTCGTTGTCGTCGCGTTTCTCCTCATCCCCCTCCTCTTCCCTCTTCACCGCGTCCCGTTTCGTCACCAGCTCCATGGGCCCGTACGGGGGCCCGGCTGACGTCAGCGGTAACGGCACCATATCCGGTCGGTGGAGTCCGCTCAGGGCGAACGCAGCCCTCGGTAACAACTGCGTCGCACTTGGCGGCAGAATCGGGTGCCTTCGGGCGAGACGCGGGTCACCCCAAAGTTCACCCGCGGCGTGAAGACTCCAGATCCCATATTCCATCTGAAATACGTCCTGTTTAATTAAACACCTGTTCAATCGATAATGTCCCTCCCTCCCCGTTCGAATTATCTCCTCCTCAGAGCCCTTTGAACTTCGAGTACAAGGGTTATATCCGCGAGATCGTGACAAACGAAGGACGACGATTTGAAATAGACACCTGGGACGAACACGACGCATCTAGCTCGCGTCGCGAGGATACGGTCTATTTTCGGAAAGCTTAAAATAGGAAAAGCGGATAATGGAAAAGACGATATTCATTGTTTGCGCCTTCTTCGCCTATCTAATACACACAGACTTAGTCGAGTTTCGACGGCTGAAAGATGGATGAGATTACGCGGCCCGCCATCGAAATAGACCGGGGTCGTTAATAAAAGATGCCACGTCAAGCGGGAACTGGATCGTTTAGAGACGTTGCCCCGACAAGAAATTCTGCCTGCGAGATGTTCTGTGCTTTCGAGTGGTAACAAGTTTTTCACGGGAGGATCTAGCCCAGGCGGAGAGGAAAAATGAAGGAAGAGAAACGTGGAAATCGACGGTTCTCTGTAGAAAATAATTCGAAGGAAGTGTGATGTACAATGAAATCGTAATTATCGCGAGAGCATTAATACGTTCGCTTTCACGTCGCGTTGCCTTCGATGCGATACTTAATAAATTAACGAAGATAATTTTCATACAGTGGAAACCGGCGGGCTTCCCAATGCGAACGCATTGCGCGACAAAAGAGGTAGAGAGGGGCAGGAGGGTAGGTGGGGGATTACAATAGATTTACGTAATGAGATACAGGAATACGCGTATAATTTCACGAACAGCGTCCGTCAAAGTGGTCGGGATCAAAGTTAAAGGTAAAATTGCATCGGTGTCTCGTGTATTGTCCACGTGTGTATGCGCGCGTTTGTCCCAAAAAAATATCAAAAATAGCCGAGTGACAACCGGAAGATCCTTCTCCGATTCGCGACATCCTCGGCTCTGTTCTCTAATTTCGCTTCTGGTTAATCCTCGGACGATATGTGCGCAGGGTGCGGCCGAAAGTATTGTACAAACGGACAGCAAGTGATTTCTTCTCTGTGAAAATATTGTTCGGTCATCGGAGGCTCAAACTTTGTGAAAATCGCCGTTTCGACAATTCCTTAATTGATGTAATCAAATATTATGCAAAATATCGTTGACAAAATTTTGTCTGCGTGCTTTCTTAAAAATTTAGACATTGTACATAAACGCGATAGGCATTGTACGTTGTTTCACTAATCACATCTTAGCTGTGCAAGTGCAAACAACGCAACGGATTTTCCAACCCGATTTTCACAAAAACTGAGCCTCGGATGAACGAATCCTTTTATTTATTTTTGCGTAAAGAATCACCTCCTGCGCACTCGTACAATACTTTCAGTCGCGTTCCGTATACACGCGCACATTTCATTACGTGAAATCAACGATTTCTATTCTTTATCCTTCCTTCTTCACGTTTCCATTTCCTCCTCTTACGTTCGTTGTATAATAAGAGCGATATCACCATATATATATATATTCTTTCATCTACACCGTTTCGTATATTCGTTTCTATTCACCCACGAAAAAGAAAGGAATCAGGAGTTGCTATCTTCGAATTGTCGTTTTGGCAGGTGAAAAAAAAAAAAAAAAAACGAGCGAATATAGAGTATGGCGAGTTTTAACAGGATCGAGAAGCGCGCCACTTAATTGCAGCGCATTTTGTAATGTTTAATAAATAGGTCCGGCGATGGACGAGTTCAGAACTCATTATTCGCGAAAGTTCGCGTACACGCGCTCATTACTCGGTGAAACCGTCGGGGAAACAGTAATCATTTTAATGACCGTTCCCGTTTAAAAATTTCCAAACGAACCGGAGGACTTCCGATTGCGCCGCTTCTCCCGATCTACCCCCTTCCTCCCTCCTCCTCCTCCTCCCTCGTGGTCCGCGCGTTTCGTCCGCGGCGGAACGCGGATTCGCGTAAAAATAACGCAACAAATATCCTCCTGTTAATAAGTCCATCGATCGGTCGTTTCGTCCGGCTGTGGCAGAAGGAAAATTTTGCAGGTTAAATTGGTCGGATAATTATGCGCGTTTAATAGCTAGAAGCCCCGTTGATAACGCGGTGTAACTAAAAATGCAACGTGTAATGGAACGAACGATTTCCGGGAGAGAAAAAATGGAGGAGAGATTGAAAAAGGGAACGATAACGGCGAATTAAAAAGAAAATGTATATGTATATATAGAAGGATGTGAAAGATGGAAAAACATTCTTGGAAGATTGTTCGTTAAATAATAGCACATATCGATTCGATCGTGTACGAATGTGAGGTTTGCACGATGAACTATACGCTCCGTAGGAAAATTAAGGAAATATATTATTTGTCGCTGTCATTTGCGGTATTCCACGTATCATCTCATAAATCAAGCGGTAATAATCCCGAACAAATATTCTATTCGAAGTAACATCTATCGAGTTTCCGTTCACTTTTCGACGAATAATCTTTCCGGGATAATTTCACGCCGGAAACAATGTCGTACGATCGGCGCTGCGATTTTCCGCAGCGACGAAGAAAGAGAAAAGAGAAAAGAAACGTAAACGATACGGTTAAATGAAAATTTCATGTTGCTCGTGTTACGTTTTCATTCGTTCCACCTCTCCGTCGGTACAATAAACGTAAGAATTATCAGGGTTTCGCATTTATAATTTGGGAAAGTGGGAACGTGTTCATTTGCAAACGCGAGATTATTATAACTGGAGCCCGTGATGGCGGTGGTCCCACATGAGATTAATCGCGCGGAAAAACATGTGAATCTTGACAGATGAACTGCGAGATGTCCCGAATAACGGTGGAAATTAACAGAAGTATTTTTGTTAAAAAGCACAACGGTGAAATGAAATGCGGTTAGAAAATTGTTGAAACTGCCGGTGTGAGAAATGTGGAAATTTTTATGAAAATATATATGTATGTATGTACATGTAACAGTCTGATAAAGAGTACTGCAAAGTGTAACACTGCGACGAGCATCGCGAGATTAGGTCATGGAAATCGGTGTAACTCCTAACGGGAGATCCACACAGCGCGCACAACCGACTGAAATTGTGTTTCAGTTAGAGAGAGAGAGAGAGAGAAGTCTTTTAGGATCAGACCACTTGATCTCCACTACCACCTGCGTAATAGGAAACCCAAGGAAAACTTCGCGATAACGGCATCGTTTTTAATCAATTTTATACATAAAAGTCGAACGTTGAAACGTCGAGAGAAAAGTTTTAAAACATCGAAGGGCAAACTTCGTCGAACTGATTATTTTCGATCAATTATTTCAAGAGACATAACTCAATTCGAGTACAAAAAAAAACATAAATAATACAATCTTTTCTATCAAAATTTCACAGAAAGAAAGGAAAAGGAGCGATTTGGGAAATGAGCGAGGCGAGAAGAACTGTTATCACAACAAAATTGGAACATGCAAACAGCCTGCACAATGACAAAAGAAGAAAATCGAACGAAGTAGGTAAAGAAAAAGAAGTAAGTAAGTAAGAAGCTGGTCCATCGAACGGCATTGCGACATTATCAAACTGTGTATATCGCGAGGCCGTCCGCTAATTTAGAAGCGAGCAAACAAGTTGATTAAGCGCCGCGTACGAAAAGAAAGTAGAACCTCCGAAGTCTAAACTGTGTGCTATGTAAAACACACGTTACTTACGGATATACATACATATACACATACAGCGTAAACGAGTTAACAAACGAGAACATTGAGAAAACCAAAAAAAAAAAAAACCCAAAAAAAAACGAAAGAAACATAAATGAAAGATTCCTTCTTACGGATGCCCGTCCGGTGGCCTACCGCAATTCAGGCCGATCGTCATTACGGTAAATCATCCCCCGGACCACGTTTGCCCCCGTCTCTATTTACGGAGCAAGAAACACCAGCCGATCCTTGCGGGTACCTCTCTCTGACCGGTAGACCGGAAGTTACGCAGTACCACCGCTTAGAGAAGTAGTAACGTGTGCACGCGGACCGACTCTCTCTCACGAGGCACGGAACCGGGGTACAAGAGAAATACGTCCGGATACGTGCTGCCGCAGAACGAACTCGCGAGATTCCTGACCATTGGACCGACCCTCGTGCATGCATACTTTAGCATAACGTTCTCTATACAATATCC